TGGGCCCTCATTTAATTTTACTCAAATATAATAAAAGCTTTTAACTTTTAACACAAATATGTAGGATGGAAACAGAAACAGTCATTTAGCGCACAAATACGGAAGCAGAACAAAGTAGGTACCCATCGAGTTCAATCTGTCAAACACGTAATGAGCACATCATTCATACTAAATATACAGATGATTCTGCCTTGATGCTTACTCTTTCTCCTATGATTTATTTGCTATAATAAGAAAAAGACTGAAATCTATACATACTACTGAATCCTCTGCATTAAGCTGTAGATCACTTAAATGGAAGTATCAAAGATCTGATATCACATAGTTGATGGCTTGATTTGACTCATGACACATCTAGAACTAATCTAGACGCATGAGAAGCCAATATCTTTTGAACTGTCTATGCTAGAAAATTTACCTCAAGACCCTAAGACAGTCAGAGAAGCTTTAGTTAATCAGTGGTATGGCAAAGATTATTATGACTATTACTTGTCAACAGACTGTTTCAAGAAATTATTTGATACTGATGAGCAAATCATTTAATTTTAGAGGGAAATCCCTTTCCAACTTTTCGTATCTTTCACATATTAACTCCCTATTGCTACAGATAGAAAACCTCTAAGTTCCAGGGTGCTAAAATAATCAGTCCAATATTACATACAAAATTTCTAGCAAATAATCAGCCACTTGGCTACCATCTCCATGTTTTACTTACGGCACAAAGGAGTACCATTGCTACATGCAGTATACCTCTCAAAACAAGAGGTCTGCTACTGAACGACTGTGTGTAATACCTGGCATACCACTCAGTTTTGTGGGTCTGATAAATTCTATCGACAGCTGTCATTTGTAAATACTATATATAATTAAATGCACTGGAATCAGGTGTTAGTCCAAAGTATAAATCACAGTTCTACCACATATATGCTTTGAGACTCTGGGAAAGCTTCTTAGTCTCTCTAGGACTTAGTTTCATTTCTACTTATTTTAATAATTCACTAGATTATTTTAAACTTAATATTGGGGTACCTCTACTAGGCATTACCTACCACCAACTCACCCAGATTCTACCACTGTAAGCCACTGTTCTTTTTTCTTTTTTAAAAAAAGATCATTTATGCATACAGAGCTGGGGTATAGGCCAGAGGTGCAGGGGCGGCGAGAGGCTTCCCCAGAGAGAGTGGGGAGCAGGACAGGCCGACTGACAAAGTACACTGCTGAGGGGGGCAGCGGGTGGGCCAGGAGAGGTCTGCCGCGCCCTGTGGTCACCTCCGGGGCGGGGACTGAATTCCTGCTGAACTGGCTTTAGCTTCCTAGTGCTGTGCTTTGACCCACTGCGCCACCAGGGAGGGCCTGTTCTTCCTTCCTTTGTTCTTGTTCCTCCCAAGCCTTTTCCCCACTGAGGTGCTTCAGATATGCAGTCAGCTATGAAGGGTTAGTTTTTAGCTCATCTTTATCAGACTATTATTTAGTTACTTTATATTTCACATTTAGTGACACCATCTGGCACATATCCTTCTCCTTCTGACTTATCTCACTTGGCGTTATCCTGCCAAGCACCATCCCTGCTGCTGCGAAAGGCGTGACTTCATCTTTTTTGCTCACTCAGTAATATTCTATCATGTCTACAGACCATATTTTCTCAATACACTCGTTTGTCCTGGGGCACATAGTTTGTTTCCATAGTTTGGCTGCAGTAAACAGTGCAGCCCACAAACATGGGCGTGCACATTTCCTCTTGAATTACTGCTTCTGAAACTCTGCTATAGATGCCTGGCGTGGATTATTCAGTCAAACGGCAAGTCCACGCTGACTGCGCTGAGACCCCGCCATAAGCTTTCACAGAGCCGGCCCAGTCTGCAGTCCCTCCCGCCCTCCAGTGCTGGGGGTGGGCTCCCTCTTGTCCACATCCTCACCAGCCCTTGGGCCATTCTCATATGGAAGAGGATACCTCACTGCAGGCTTGACTTGCATTTCTCTAATAATAACATTTTTTTCATGTACCAGCTGGCATTTTTTAAGGTAATATTTGCTGCATGTTATTCTCATCATGACAAAATGAGATCAAATAATAAAATATCTTATAACAGTACACTCTTAAAAATTATCAGTTCTTTCCCCTTACTTCCTTAAATCCCTCTCATTTCCCCATGCGGACTGTAAGTATGATGAAGGAAAGCCCGAAGTACAATTCACTTTTAATTCTACAAATCTAAGAACTAATTTACACCTAAACTAAAAGTTCAAGTTTAAAAAAAAATGAGGATATCCTAACAGTAATTATTAAGCAACTCCAATTGTTAAATACCTACATTTAACTTAAACAAACAGGATCAATACATTTAGTCACACCATAAATGAGTACAGTCAGAGAGGTGGGCAAAAACAATTATTGTACCCTTCAGCTAGTATGTCATGGAGGGAAATGCTTCCATCAGTAAACTGATAGAATAACAGTACAATAATCCTTGGCATAAAAAGCTGGCTGGTGTTAGGGTGTCTGAATTTTATGACACAGAGATGAATATTAACCTGTTAATAATAAGCATTATGTACAAAAAATGCTGAGTAGCCCACAAAGACTGCCTGTCACACAGGGTGGGTGTCTGCTCCCTACCTGCCTGCAAACAATCTATCCCCCATTTAGACCATGAGCTCTCCCTACAAAAAAAGAAGCTGAGTTAAAAAAGGGATATTGAGAATAACCAATTCCAAGCTAAGAGCTGCAATTCAAAACCTTTTAGCAGCAAAAGAAAACAAGTGCATTTAAAGGTGGATTTGAAATGGAGTATTTGCTTCCATCAATAAAAGCAGTTTCCGTTTTATTAGCAGGTGAACAGCGGTGTTCCTACCGAAGCGCACGGCCGGCAAGGCCCTGGTATCTGAGAGCGACGCCAGAGCACATCTCTCTGGTCTGAGCAGGACACCGCCCAGAGAGTGTGCGCTGCCTTTCCCTTCCCGGCAGTCCAGTCATTTAGGGGGCCGAGGGGACGCAAAGGGAGGACCCAATCCTTGCTCCAGCTGTTCCTTCTCTTAATGTCTCCGTCAAACATTTCTTTCACCTTGTTCCAGAAATATCCTTGCCCTCTACTTTAATTTTTTACGCATCTACTCACTCTTCCAGGCCTCCTACAAACGCATGCGTCCAAGTGTTTAAACGCAGCTGTCTAAATACCAGCCAGTTGGAGGCTTACACTAGGGGGCTGTGTCAGGGCCCCCTTTCACCAGACTCATTACTTCAGCAGGTAATTATTATAAAATTTAAGCTTGCAATAAATCAAACTTTAATAATAATGGATTTTAAGTAGTTTATTTAGTATAAGATCCATGTTATTTAACATACTGCTGCAAACCCCACGATCTGGCCTGTAACAACTTGATTATACAAGTGAAGAGTACAGATGTCAACTAATATTGATTTCATGGGTAAGCTGACTGTCAGTCACTAAAGAGAGTATCTCCCCAAGAGTGCAGCATTTATTTCAGCCTCTGCCAGTGGAAGTGTTGGAGCAGATGTTAGCAGACTGTGACATACAGTATGTCTTTAAAACTTGTTGGGGTGTGAAATTTCATAAGGTCAAAAAATGCTGCATTTTGATCAGTAGATACAGGAGTTCTGAATTTTATAAATGATTTCAGAAAAACCAATAACATTTGCTAGTGAAAGAGAAACTTTGTATATCTATAAAGTATATCTATACTGGCTTTAGGTAGGGTATGATAAATCCCCTGCTAATGTTTGAAAAGCCAATTTCTATCACTTTCTAGAGCAATACTATCCCCAAAGATCTTCAGTATAAAATGACTTAAGTCAACACAAAATATAAGACATATTTCAATTAAAAACAGGTTCTTAAAAAAGATTCCTACTGAAAGTGAGGTGATAAATATCTAGCATTTCACAGGGGGAAAATAATTTTCTTAACTAATATACACATATAAAAATGTTCTCACTTTTAAAGAACTGAAATTTCTACTTAAGAATTTACTGATATAAGTAGAGGGTTTTTTTAAGTTAGAAACCTTTATAATGAAAATGATTTCACAAAACCTTTGGTTTATTGCTCTATTCTTTAAAAATATTAACAAATACTACCCATGAAACAGACTTGGTCTCTATACAACAGTAAAATGATTCCGAAACATTTACGGACCTACCTTTGTTATCCTATATATGTAATACTTTATTGTATTTTGACTGCATACTTTTGCTTCAGGTTTTCCTATCTTCTCAAAATGTGTCTAAACATACAATCATAATTTAACTTAATGATGGTATAAAGACTTTATTTCAAAGGTTTAATTCTTTATGTAAGACTAACTTTCATGGTAGTTCATTTTAATTTCCTATAACTTCTTAGATGTTTTGCTTTGAATAGACACAGAAAAAGCATTGTAATGATTAACTAGTAGTTTGGACAGTGTGAAGTCTGTTTAGACCAAAACAGTAAGTTTCACCATTATCAATATATTCTGTGCTGTGTTCAAGCAAATACATAATTTATAGATGAGTCTAAATCACTGATTTGTTAGTCATAAGGAAGAAAATTTAACCACAAATATTAAATCTTCCTAGAAAATAATTTTAATGTAAAATCACTTATCTTTTATGATACAATTAAACAAAAGATATAATAGGATAATATATTAGAAATGCACTAAGTACTACAATGCAGTATCTTACAAGCAAGTTTAATCTAGCAACCAAGTTCAAAGGTCTTTGTTTTACATTTTAGAAAGAAAAACTTGACATACATATATGGGGAATTATATTCATAACATTCAAGTTTTAACTACAAAATATTAACAGTATATAAGACTATCTTTTATCAATAATATGTATGCTAAGGAATAAAATTATGTCTAAGTTAAAATTTTCTCTGCTCTTACAGAAAAAAACCTCAACTTTTTTTCATTAGCCTTCTTATATATCCTAAGATTGTGACATAAAAGGTCATACAAATAAACTCAAGGTGAATCGACAATTATATTTAACTTACTTGCCACTGAAAAATTGTTGAGGGGATAAGGTAAATCCACATCTTGAGGTTTTTCTTTATATCCTATGAATGAGCCATCTGTCTTCAAAAGGAAATATCTTGGCCTCCAGTTTTTTATATATTCTCCTACATAAGGAAAGCATGCATGTTAATGCAGAGCAAAAAGGAACAGAAGTTTTTGTGTAAAAATGAAATTACTGTACAATATATGTCCTACAACACTGGTCTTCAAAATTTAGTTAGGCAATTTTTTCTTAACTTACAAAAGAAAATACATAAGCCTGCAATTAAGATTCAATGAAAACGCAAACATGTTTTGTTTTCAATGATTTCACACTTTGATAATTCATTTTGCACCATTATTTCTTCAGAGAATCATTCATCTGAGTACACATTTTATTCAGTTTCTCATAGCATCAGATGCTTGTTACAGCGTATTTTCAGCAGTTTTGAAAGACTGAGTAAGTCAGCCATGCAGTGGCAAGGAATTTTGGGAAAAATATATCCTAAGAGGGGTATGAAATAAATGTTTCTTTTCCATGATGTACTAGAAGTATCTTTTCTTTAAAAGGGGAAGGAGTCTCTTTCCATTGTTAAGCCTTGATAACTTATTAAAAAACATTATTTTTTCCACATAGTAAAATAACCTCTAACTAAGGAAGTGAAAGAAGTGGGCTTATTGATTTTCAAAGACATACACACACTCACACAAGCATGGTAACTGTCAGAACACGGTAACCCTAACTCAGTAATTGTGCACTTTACCAGATTTTGATACAAATTACCATTTAGCCACCAAAATACAAAAACATACAAAATACAACAAACAGATCTCTATTTGCTGCCCTCACAAAGGACTCGCTTTAGGCCCAAATTTCATGCCACAAAAGCTGTAAGGCTACCTCGTCTGTTCTCAGTTCTCCTATATGTCTACCTAATCATGACTCTCAAACGCCTGACAGCACTACCAAATATTACTACAAAAATGTGAGCACAGCTCAACATTTCCCGTAGTTCCGTTTGTTCTCTTGACCCCAGTTACCCAACTTCAGACCTAGCAAGCGCCGACCCCGCTCCCTCTCACCCTGTCAGTGCCAGAGACAATGCTTCCAGGCGCCCTTCGTGTCCAGTCCAGCCTCACCCAGACCCACCCTTCATGCATCCTCGGCTACGCGGGGCTCTATTCTGCCCTTCTCTGCACCTATGAACCACCGCATCTGTCCTCTCTGGCTTCGTCATCCAGCCTGATGTGCCACTTTCATTATGTTACCACGCGAATCTTGTATCTGCTTGCCTGTAGGAATTTCAAGAAATTCAAAGACATTTGTGTGATCTGTAGCAAGACTTACAGTTGTCAAAATGTTGTTTAAAAATAAATGGGTACGTACCCCCGGCACATACTACGTATCCTGAAATGGTGAGATCACCATACGAACAGGAGAAAAACTTAAGTCCAGATCTTCCTTCTTGATAAATGTTATTTCGCAAAGAATTTAATTAGTTTGTATAGATTCAGTTAAATCAATCAAAAATTATCAAGCTAATAGTCAACTTTGAATTTTCAACGAAGACTTCTGAGTCCAATTTTTCTTGTAATTTGTCATGTATAATCTGCATGGATTTTCTGGAGTTCATTTGTTCTAGGTAATGGATTATCTCACCTCAAAAAACAGTCTGTACCTCACAGAGCTTATATTCCAGTATTCCTCCTAAAGTCTGGAGAGTGGTTCTGCCTATTTCCTAAGAGTGGACACTAATGTGGCTACAGTAACGCTCTTAAACAAAGTCCACAGGACAGGAAGAGGTGTCAGCCTAATATCTGCGCTCTAGTTTCAAAGCTGAAGACAATGTTGTTGATCCTCCAGGGGATGCAAATTCACGCGTGTGACAGAACAGGAAAGTAAGCTTTTTACACCGCCCGCTACAGCTCGGACAGCAGAGGCGGCGCCTCAGCTCAGCAGGGCAGACGCAGCTTCCCCAGCACCGCGACAGGCCCCTGCGCTGGTGGCAAAGCAGTTTCCGCAACGCCGGGGTCCTCAAGAACGCTGCATCTTGCCCTGTTGATGGTCCAAAAGAAAGCGAACACGTCCCTCACTGATTCAACAGTTGAGGCAGTAAGAGCTCCAGAAGTCACACGTTCCCGGGGTGCTCTATAATATGGCCAGGAAATCCCAACTTGTGTGAGACTAAGTGCCCAGGACAAAAGTGCTCTGTCTTCCACAGTCCTTTTAAGAGAGAGAGCTACGTCAACCACAGCTTATATTTCAAAAGCAACATTCCACAGAAGCTGACGCTTGCTGCTTTAAAATCAATTCCACAGGTTTCAACAGACATAAGAGTCTGAATATAAAGGGGAGAAAAATCTTATTACATATGTGGCAGTACTGCTTTATTTACAATCGGAAAGACACGGAAGCAGCCCAAATGCCCAAAAGTAGATGACTGGATTAAAAAGATGGGGTGATACAACGGAATATTACTCAGCAACCAAAAAAGAGAAACACATGCCTTTTGCAGCAACTTGGATGGAGCTGGAAGGGATCATGCTGAGTGAAATAAGTCAGAAAGAAAAGGAAAAATACCAGATGGTTTCACTCACAGCAGGAGTATAAAGGACCGGGGAGTGGGGGGATGGGGGGTAATAATAATAATGAATAACTATATACCAGAGACATTTTACGGGGGTAGAGTGGGGGATGGGATCAAAAATGGGGGTGGGGCGAGTGCACTGGACTATGGTGATGGCACACGGGTGATTTGGTGATGGGAAGCCCACAGGGATTACAACTGCGATGTAAAAATAAACTATATTAGCAGCATTTATGGGGTTCCAAGTCCACCACAGAGCTTACTCTAGGGAAACCCACCAAGAGAAATTAAAACTTTCCATGCACTGTAATGACAGACTTTCAGCTAGCACGAGTGTCACGTGCAAACAACTTCAACTCAAATTTTTATCTACTTTAATGCATGTTTCTTTCTCACATAGTTTGACTTTATGTGTTTTGAAGTATGGTGGAAGTCAAAAAATGTATTTTTCCCACCAAGATTCTGTTATTTTGGTTTCTACTGTGGGTTGAACAGTGAACTCCAAAATATATGTAGACAATCTAATTCCTGGAACCTGGAAGAAGTTACATTGTATGTTGAGAGATGTGATTAAATGGAGGAGAGGTGCTTACCCTGAATTATCTGGGTGAGCAATACACCCAATTTCAAGTATCTTTCTGAGTGAGGCACCCGGAGATCTGACATGAAAACTCCAAGAGGAATCAGTGTGATCAGGTGAAAGAGACTGGAATGATTTACCAGAAGCCAAGCAACAGAAATCAGACTCTGAAAGGAGGAATGGATCTTTCAAAGCCTCTGGAAGGATTGTGACCCTCCCGACAACTTCATTTCTAACTTCTGGCTCCCAGATCTGTGAAAGAATGAATGAATGTTGTTTTTAGCCTCCCAATTTGTTTTAACAGTTCCAGAAAACTAAAGCAACGTCTCATCATCATACCCAAAGTCTTGTTGATAAAAGAAAAGCAAAACCTAATGATAAGGTCCTTGGCATAAGTAGTATAGAGACTGAGAGATAACACATGAAGAATGCAGAGGAAATGGACATTAATCCTATCGGTGGTGGAGAATCCCACTGGTGAAATGGGAATTGGAAAAGGTTGCTTATCAAAGTTCACAGTTTCAGTTATGATGACTTCAGATTTTGAACTTTTGCCAACTTTCTTCTCTTAGTAATTTATTTTCTGTAATCTCTAAGAAGCAAACAAACCCCAATGGTTGAATGAATGTTTCCCATAAATATTTTTGATTTCCACATCTGAGGACAAATCTAAGCCTGAGTTTCAGCCTAAAGTGTTTAACAGAAAAAAAGAGCTGGAAGATGGTATGGATTTAAATGTGAGCTTTCCATCTAAAATATATTCTTTTGACAGAATATTGAAAGGGATCATCTTCAGAGGGGACGTGTTCAACTTGGAGTTACTGAAAAGGGGGACACATCATTTCTAATTACATTTTTATTTATAACCTTCAACCTAAGTCAATCCTCACATACTTTTTATTTCACTAAAACTGTTGAGAATAACAAAGATAGAACCTATGTAAGTACTAAAAATGGATTGATTAAATGTTCAAATTGTCTTATATCTAGAATAACTTCAGGAAAGTCCAGTTATGTCCAAGCATACAAATAATTCAACTTGTGTCCTCACAGATGAATTATATTGATGAACAGTGGACGCCACTCTAAGGCTAGCTTTCTATCTGTCCCAAACTCTAAACTCCATGAGAAGCAGAAATACAGACATGAAGCAAAGTATATGCTGACACCAAGCAGAAAAACTGATCAGTTTATTAAATGTCTAGGCTCAACTGTAATGAGCTATCCTGAAAACATGCTTAAATGGATTAACTGAGAAGTTATTTTAAAACAGGTAATAATCCAACTGAAAATAAATTGACAGTTACACTGTTTTTCAAAAATCCCATAAAACTATGTATCTTTTAAAATTAAAGACAAAAGACTTAATGCATCAGTATTAAAATGTTACTTTCCTAGAATAAAATAGGAAAGCAATAACGAACTCTGGTTACCAAAAGTCACAAATGCAATGTTCAAGTTTTCTGTTATTCAGTCTTGGGTGATTATGTAATTCTAAGAATGTGTCCTCTGAATCTAAACTGTTGACTTGGTTTGCTTAAATATTCAGAGTAGCCTCTTACTATTCTCTGGATTTCTGAGGTCCCTGTTGTAATTTCTCCATTTTCACTAATGATGCTGTTTCCTTGAGTTTTCCCTCTTTTTCTTATTAAGCCTGGTAGGGGTTGGCCTATAATGCTTCTATTTTTCAAAGAACACCTTTTCATTTCAGTAGTGTTTTGACTTTTATTTCTGATTTAAACTTAATGAATTCCTTCCTTCTTGCTTTTGGAGTTCTGGTTATTTTTCTAGTTCCTCTAGATGAGAGATTAGACTGTGCACGTGTCTTGTTACTTTTCCTTGATGTGTGCCTGTATTGCTTTACTCTTCCCTCCCAGGACTTCTTTTACCGTGTCCCACACATTCTGGAAGGTTGTGTTCTCATTATGACTTGCACAAAGTGTTTTTTATGTCCTCT